GTGTGTGTTTGTGCGTGCGTGCGTGCGCGCGCGTGCGTGTGTGTGTGTTTGTGTGTGTGTGCGTACGTGCGTGTGGTGCGCGCGTGCGCGTGGTGCGTGCGTGTGTGCGCGCGTGTGTGTGCGTGCGTGCGGGCGGGCGTGCGTGCGGGCGTGCGTGTGTGCGTACGTACAATCATGCGTGTTTTTTTCACGCATATGTGTGTGCGTGCGTGTGTGTGTGCGCGTGCGTGTGTGTGTGCGTGCGTGCGTGTGGCGTGTGTTTGTGCGCGCGTGTGTGTGCGTGCGTGTGTCTGTGTGTGTGCGCGCGCGTGCGTGCGTGCGTGCGTGTGTGTGTGTATTTGTCGTCTGTCTTCATGCGTGAGTGCTCACAACAACGCCTGTCTACAGTAATTGTGCGGGTTTTTTGTGTTCGTAGGATATTTCCGCCGTCGTTGCTGGGGTCGTTCGTGTTATTGTTTCCATGACAACACATGCAGAGATTGTTTTATATACAAATATATATATATATACACGATATACCATAATTAGTCTATACAATATACACCTGTATAAATTACAAACTATACCAAGTTATTCTTGTTATTACTCCTCTTGTTGATGTTGGTTTTGTCAATGGTTGTATGAACTAAAAATCTTTTCTTAGAGACTCGCCTTTTTTGCAAAAATTTAATTTCAAAACATCAAGACATGAATTAAGAAAATACATATGCAGTTTATTATCTTCGCTGCTTATGGTTAAAGTGGTGCAATGTGTATATATTTTTGCGGTTCTGATCATTCAATACTCACCGGCTACATAAATCTTCCACGGAGGGCAAGTTCCGCTTCGCACCAAAAAAGCAAGTACGTAGCTCGAATGTTTTAGCGACGTATAACTAGGCCTACTCTAAATACATCTTCATTCGGTATAGTTTTGATGATAATATACTTAGTGCTGTTAGAATTAACGTCATATAATGATCAGGGTACCTCATACTCAGACACCACAATACTAACGCGTGGTGAAAATATCTTGTATGAGCACATAACCGTGGACTACATACGCTCGTCCAGTTTCATTGTCCCTTCTCGAATCTCATTGCGAAACTACGTCAGCCAAAACATTGCCGAGCTCTTGCATATAAACACTTAGATGCAATAATAAGAGACCCATCGTAGTAGGTCTGATCGGGTCTCCCTGGGTACTGCCGGACCGTACCCTGGTAACTCTGTTATACCAGACCGTACCCCGCCTACACCACGGGGAGTGTTGTTCCCCTCCTACAGGGCACGGTTGGGAGTAGGCGGGGTACGGTCTGGCAGTACCCAGGGAGATATAGCCTTTCTCAGCCGTAGTAGGGGTAGTTACGTTGACCTACTCTCTCAGACTTGTATTATTGTATCTGATTAAAACACAGCGGGAGCCACGATGCGAGCCGATTGTTATTTTTAGTACCGTAGATGTTTTTTTGCAACGATGTTGATACATGGAGATCAGATGCAACGATATACAATGAGTGTGATAATACCAGGAGTAGATAATAGGTCCTCCTATTATCTACTCCTGACAATATAGACCTGAGAGTCGTAGAGAATGGAGAGTGACCTAGAATGCAATGTGAGAAATCAGGAGCCCGTTGTCAGAAACAAAATTAGTCGTAACATTAATCCTTTTATAAACTTTAATCTAACACTAACATTTTTCGTAGACCGTCGACAGCACTTTGTTTCTTATTGCTATGCGGAAATCTGCTACGATTTTTCATTCAGGTAACTTCGCAGCGTTTCTGTCGACGGTCTAAGAGAAAAAGTTAATGTTAAGACTAATTTTGTTTCTGACAACGGGCCCCTGGAGTGTATGTGAATGTGAGCGTAAGCGCAATATCTCAATATCGCAGTGTATAATGTAGATATGTATAATCTATATTATACACTTCTGATAATATATATATATATATATATATATTGTCAAGAGCTCATAAATACCTTATATTTTAGGTATGCCTTAGCGCTGAGAGGGTCTATGTCCCCCAGGGTACTGCCGGAACGTACCCTGGTATTATCTAACATGCCGGACCGTACCTCGCCTACTCCACTAACGAGTCTAGGGAGTCGCCTACGCCTACTCCCTAACCCTAACCCTAACCTTAACCCTAACCCTAACCCTAACCATATCAGC